ACGTTTGTTTCAATCTTAGGAAGTTCAATTAGTTGTGTATCTGGACATGGCTACACTTCAGATAAGTCATCAAATGACGATTTCAGAGTTTTAGGTAAACGAGTAAGATGATGCTCCATATCCTAAAAAGAAAACTTATTTTAAAAGTTCTATGGACGATTAAATTTTTCAAAATTGAATCACTTACGAGATCCTGATGAAACGACTAAAATGTTGTCCAAGTCCGTATTAAAAAGACTCTACATAGGAAGCATGAGTTTTCCAAATTCTTAGTGTCAATTCTATTGTTTTAAGATATTTCGGAAATCGTTCGATGTTTGAATTGCGCAAGTTTCTAAATCATAAAGAATCTCTTTTCAATTGATTCTTTTGAACGTTTCAATTGCACTATCAAATATTTTTTAGTATTTATTAGGCTTCTTATCACATCAGACATACAGATGCAGCTGAGTCTGTATCTAATTTTTTATGGTGATGAGCGGAAGAATATCGATATGTGGAGAAAGAAAAATGTCAAATACTCTAGAAATAGAATATATGCACAGATTTTTATCATGTATATCTTATCTGATGATAGGATTTGAAAATATTACTTAAAATAATAATCTTGTAATATAAAAAATGAAAGCATTATAAAACGAATTCAGATTTAGCAAAAGTTTATTATTATTATAAAGTAAGTGTTGCCATGTAAGACTTTTTTGTTGAGAGATTCACTTTTCTTGACGTGGGTGTGAGAGTAAACGTCAGTGTGGCAGAGGATATAACACTATACTCTGATATCATCGATACCCAAATCCATACATCGCGTCTGAATGATTTATGTAAGAACGCTGGTAAGTGTTTTCTTTTTCTGCTCCTCTAATGCATAAATTAAGCATAAAATTCATTACGGGTAAAAAACCAAAGATAAAAATGATTTCGTAGCAAGTTGTCAAATGTAATTATCTGCACGTGTTTCGTTAATGTGGGATAGATAGTCAATGTATTATTCTTCCTCTCTCTGCATACATTAACTACAGGTAATATTCAGTATGTGAAAGACGAATCAATAGTTTTGTTTACAGACTCTTCTGTTTTGCTGCTTGCTTTTTTCTGAGTGAAGAGAAAGAAATATATGCATCAATAATCACTACTTTAAACATACATAATCAGTTTATTTTCTTGATATCACTTTCAATTGTTTGCATTCATTTAGATTTACAGCTAGTGTATTTACTCGTTCTTGCTCGATTCCGACTGTTCTAAAGTGTTATTCAATGGTAACTACGAATACACTATTATTATTTAGTCTACGTAATTTAGATGATATCTTTTTCTATAAGAGTTCATTGACCTAACGAAAAGCACGATTTCAATTCCTATTGCACTTTCGTTCTTACAAATAGATAACAAGATCAGTAATTTACAAAACATCTAAAAATATGAAAGGTGTCTCATATTCTTTGAAACCTTTTTTTTTGTTTTGCACAACCTATCTTTGTACTTTGCATCTTGTGTGTTACTCTTTGTACACCGATGTCATTGAAAGCATTCCGGTCTATTAATCTTACTTGAAAGTTCAGTTCGAGTATTAGTATTGACTGCAAAATTGTCTCAATAATTCTTTATGTAGTCACAGTATTCCCGGAAAACACATTCACACCCTGATACTATTTTGGCTGAAGCATGACAAATATTGTGTGGAAATAGGTATAGGTCTTTATTATGAGTGCTAGTTCTTGTTGTAAACATCTGATTTGAGTGAGAATGTTGTTGTTGGTGCGTGTGTGTGTGTGTGTGTGTGCGTGTCAGTATCCTCTCAGATCTGTTAGGAGTAGAAGATCCTATTGAACTCTTGTAGCCCGTTAGTGATCCTTGTGAATCCTTCTTGGTTTTTCGACGTACCTTGTCGCTTGTAATGTCTAGTAATCTTTGGTTGTCGCTGATGGTCCCTGGTAGAATCTATAAATAATTCTCGTCTATTGAATAGGAAAGCTTCTAATTCTGTTGTAATTCATTTTCATCATAAATTTGATTAGTTCAGATCCAAACTGAACACCTCAGTCAACCAGAAATCTGTTAGTCTGATATCTGAAACCACATCACTGCTAATGGTGACTGGTATTAGCTTTGTTTCGGGACAACAGTATTTGACATGGTTATCTTTCAATAAAACCTCTTTATTAATTCTCCATAAATTACTTACGATGATCATTAAAAGTTTCGAGTACGTTTACATCATGAGAGTAGACAAGTATTTAAGTCGGATATACCAGTTAACGATCGCTGTTAAGATAACGATCAATTCACTGTGAGATAAGATGACTTGAAACTCCGACGGGTGCTAGTTCTATCTCTGAAGTATGAATGCGACAAACAACAACAACAGCACGTTCCGTCTTGTAAATTTGTTCAAGATTTCTTGAATTTTATCAATTCAGACGATCATCATATATGATCATATACTTTTTTTATCGAAAGATAGTTTAACACTACTCTTAAAAATAAATAACAAAAGAAGTATACAATCTCAAATGCCTAAAGAGTGTATTAGAATAATAAATTAAGATAAAACTCAATTAAAATTTGATAACGAAATTGAAAATGAAAACAATAAATTTGAAATAAACGATATATCGAAGACTTATACAATATTTAAATATTATTCATATATGATCGTTTAGTTCATTTAGGACTCAAATATTTATAGAATTGTAGAACATAATAGTATCAATAACAGATTCAACAATAAAAAAAAAAGGGTTTTTTTTTTATTTTATGCTTTTATTAAAATAAAATAATAATTTTTTTTTTCACTTTTCTTTTTTTTTTCTGTTCATTATTTTTCTGAGGAGCACTAATGTCTCTTACCATTTTATCGAGATTTGCTGCTTCACTTTGTTTTTTTTTTTCTATCTGGAATTGTTTCTAAAATGTATAGACAATTAATAAAATATAGTTTGCCAAAATACTATATACTCACTATTGCTTATTTATCTTTAATCTGAAAGATTTTATGATCTTTTGGAGTTGTATCTTATTTTACTTGATCATACATCTTTTCTATAAAAAAAAAAAAAAAAAAACAAAAATATACTATGAAATAACAAATCATCGATCTTTCTTACTTTCTTTTTCTTCTAAAGACTTTTTGTCTTTATCATACCATGACCGATTCCACAACCACTAACGATACCACCACCAGATGTTTCCATAGCAGAAAGTTATCTAAAACACAGCACAATTTAGCCGACGAACATATTATTAGAATAACAGAAAATAAAATGATGATCAAGTAATCGGATGAATGATATTTATATCTATTAAATCTACGATTCGAAAAACAAAAACAAGAATTCATTTTCTTGTTTTTCGAATCGTCAGCTTTTCTTGATTTCCATTCTTCCCGATTCGATTAAAATAGAACGGTATGATGATTCGAAGCTAGAGAGGAAGAAAAGGAAAAGGAAAAATAGATTATCACAGTCAAATTTGCTATAGACTTGTTTATTCTATTCGATGTCAAAGGAAAAGAAATAGTTGCCTGGACCTGGATGATATGCATTATTATTTCGTCAAAATAACAACCAGGCATCAAAATAAGAGAACGTATTTTGTTCACTGTGATTGTTTTTATTTTCGGCATTTTATAGAATAAGAATAAATATATCTATAGAAATAGTTCTCACTATAATCCATTTGTATTTAATCTCTAACAAAGATTTGTTTAGACCAGATATGATCATAGAAGAGGATGACGTCGTCTTACCTTGAAAAGTTTAATATCTAATTGTTATTTGAATAAATATCGTTTTTTGTGTCTTAGAAAGATAAAACAAACGAAAACAGAATAGAAAGTCCGTTATTCAATCTCTGTGAAATCTCTTTTACCAAGTCAGACAAATGTTGTTTTCAAATTTCGATTTTGATTTACATTTTATTTATGAAACTTAATATATTCTAATTATCATGAAACTTGTTCTTTTCTTTTTATTCTGGTTGTGTCTGTGGTAGTTGAACAAACTTAGATATAACATGTGCACATGCAGAAATGAGAAGAAAAACAAAACTATTGAAATAACAAAAAAGTTCTTTTTTTTAATAAAAAACGTAATTATTATTATTGATAACAGGTTTTGCTTTAGAGTTAAGTTGTATTATGTTGATAATGTGTCATAATAGTTATTCTTATATAATGTATTTCATTGATATAATTCTTATCGATTCGATTAATTGTGATTAAAGATCGATCTTTTGCTCATCCTTTTATATAAAATAAAACTATTTAGATATAGACTTTAATTAATTGAGAAAATAATAAAACTCAGATTTTGCTTATAATTAAATTAATGATTTCTCTCATTGAAAATATTTGTCTAACTATATATATTACGTTTGTTAAATACTTTAAACATTCTGTTTCATTTATTCTAACCATCTATGTGTTTGCATTTGCATTGTTTCAAAAAGACTTTGCTCTCTGTATGTATATGTAGTGGTGTGTTAGACACGAACAAAACCGATAAAAGTTTTCATAAGACGACACTACACGTATGTTATTGTTTATTCAATAACAAAAGGCGTAGTTAAATATAATCATACCAGTGAAATTCGAAACATTTTTTAAAATACTATTGCGATAGCGGCGTGACAATGGAAATTTTTTTGTATAGATCATCGCGATAGGGTAGGTTTTCTTTTCTATCATTAGGGCACGGCCGCAGTAGATTCTCACCCGTAATAGACATCTATAGTCGAAGAGTTCAAAATCGAAGTCTTTACTGTTGTCTCCCTCGAAGAGAATTGGTTACTAAATTACTTCTAGTTTCAATGTCATTAAATATGCGTTAATGTTACTGTGACAGGTCGATCAATTATTCTATGAAAGAATAATAATTGTCTTTCTACCTGTATATCGATCCATGAATATATTAACATTGTTTATTTTATGCTGAATTTTAATAAACAAAGGTTTACGAAAAAATCTTGATATATTATATATAGTTTATTATTTTATTCTACACTATATCAAAAAATTTTAGTAATAAATTTGGAAAAAAACTTAAATGAACAGTTGATGGCTTGATCCATGGTTCAACAATTACAAGTGTTTCAACTTTTGAACAATTGTTTTTAGCTTGTTGTTGATCTTGATTAATTATTGTTAATAATGCATCATTACGAATAACAAGTTCGACTAAACATGGAAGACGCGTTCGACAAACAAGTTGTTCAGCATAATTCATATGTATATCATGTAAAATAAGCGATGATAAATGAGGAAATTCAATAGAATTTATTGTCATATTAGATTTTTCCTCTTGTTCAAGTTGATTAAATACTTCAAGCGTTTTAAGACGAGGTAAAGCTCGTGTGACACGTTCAAAGAAAACATTTTCGAAAGGTTTTACATCATCGAAAAGCAATAACATAGTAACATTTAAGAATCTTTTTTCGACATCGAATAGCGGAAATTTATTAGAAATAAAATCGAGACGAGTACCGATAAACGGAAGAGAATAGATCTGACATTGACCATATTGATTACTGAAATAGTCGAGTGCACAATCAATAGGTTGTTGTTGTCGAAAAAAGCTTTGACGAATTGTATCTAATTCTATATGAGGAGAATATTGTAAAATTGAACGAATATGAAAATAAAATTGACGTAGATGAGGCATATATAAAACAATATCTCTTTCTAAATCTAATCCATCAATAAAGTGATCTGGTCCAATTCCATTTACGCCAATAGCCAATAACAATGTCAAATGTTCTATACTTGTGAAACGTTGTAAAAGTGGAATAATACATTGTTCATAGAGAGTAATATTCCGATACATGGTCATTTTTAATTGTTTCAAATTAGGACAGGATATCTAACTTGCATAAAACAAATAAAATAAAAAAAAGTGAACAAAATTATTTACCAATGTTATTTGTTTATTTAGTTCTTTAGATAGACGAACATGAATAATGGTCACAGTGAATGAATATAATTGTGATCCTAATTGATTTAATAAACAAATACAATCGTCGAATTGACGTAATGTAATATTGATATGAGTAATATTAGGTGATTGAGAGAAAAACAATCCTTCGTCACCAGATCGAATCGATAAACCACAATCAGGATCAAATTCGAAGAAGATAATTGAACGGATAATTGGTGAAAAACGAAAGAATGATACAAGTCGATCATTAATTGTATCAAGATAGAAAAGTTGAGGCACAATTGAGAATAAAGGAAAATTCCGTAACTGATTATCATAATAACTGTCTAAAAATATAAATTGAATAATCTATAGAGTTTTTTTCAAATAATATTTAAGGTATAATTTATAAAGTTTTCAAGGCAAACAGATTTTCGATTCGAATAAATTTAAAAATGATCAGTTAATTGATAATTTATCAGTATAATTGAAATTGGAAGATTATATAAAACTTATTCACAAAATAAAATAAAATATTGACATAAACATTTCTGTACTTATTTATTCGAATCATTTTTATAAAATAGAGATATTAATTATTTCGAGTTCTATTTTGACATATGAGCCATTTGTTTTAGAATAAAACTTCAAGAAAATATTCACGTGACAGAAATCGAGATAAAAAGTCTACTCAGCTTTTTTATTCACTCGATATGCTAAAACTACGTTATCTATCAAACATATAGTTAGAGACAAAATTTTTTTTCAATTAGAATTACATTTTCGAAATCGTAAAATGGTAAATAAATAGAATTTTTCTCTAATATTTGTTTGAATGAAATAAAACAAATTCTCTATAATTTTACCTATTGTATAAGGTGTTCCTGTATTAGAATAGAAACGACCTGCCATTATTTTCAAATATTTTAAATTGAGACAATTTTTATCATCAATTGTTTTAGCCATGTGAACAAGACGTGGTAGATGTTTAACATTGATTGAAAGTGATTCAATAGAATTAAAAATACAAACAAAAGTAGACGAAATCAATTGTTTAATAATAATCTCATGTGGTGAATGACAATAATCGAATGTAAGATCAATCGAATGACATTGATCAAGAGCAAGTTGTTCCAAACGATTATTTCCGATTCCTATTATAGAATATAATAATAGTTCACGAGGTTTCACTTTATTCATAATAGATAAAATCATCTCATCTGGTAAATTGAGCAATTCGACAATATTTTCTATATAAAAGAATAAAACAAATTATTGAAATTGCTAAAAATAAACATACTTGTGTTTGATAAACAAGTCATTGTTTATTTGACGCGTCTGACAGAGTAACTAATAGATATAAAAATATATATATATATATATATGAACATTTTCTCTTGACGGTCATTGTCAAAATAAGAGCGAATCATCAATGAGTATATAGACAATGAATGTTTCCTCAAAAGAAAATAAGTCTATATGTAGACGACTATCCAATGAAATTTTACTTGAATCTTCTATATAAAAGAAAGTGTTGTTTTAAAATCAATGAAATATTTAAAAAGGT